GAGGACGTGAGTGACCATCCAAAGGGCCTCTCAGTCCAGATAGGGTTGCAACTGGTGCACCAGACGAACCTGGGCAAAGGCCCCCCTGGTCACAGCCAACAAATGATGTTCTAATGTCAGCTGCGGATCCAGGAGGACTCCCAAATTGCGAACCCTCTCTGAGGGGCGTATGATTTCACCCCCCAGGCTAAATTCCTCCAAATGAGCATCTTGCACACACCTGCCAGTCATCGTGACGTCCACTCAGAGTGAATACTTTGCAGCTCATGTGTCTCAGCCGGATCAGATGTCCCTGAATGACAACGTCCTGAAGTACGTGGCTTCTGAGGGCCACGGAGGAGGCCCCATCTAGCCCTGTGAGGAGGCAGCCGGAACGGATGTGCAAGGGGCCCTGGAGGAAGTCCAAGCAGCCATCCGTCCTTGCTCAGAAGAGGTTACACAAGTGGTCAAAGCACCTCTTGAAAGAGGCCCCATCCACACCCCTCATTCTTAGGAAGTGAAATTGGGGGGGAGGGGCTTGTTCCAGACCTGCAAGAGAGGCTTCTCCCAGGGGCTCTCTGGGAGAGCACGGCATCAGCCCAGGATGCTTACGGGCTCTAGTGGTGGATCAGCTGCACGGAGGAATCCCTTACAAGGCCCCCTGCACCAGGGGCAACCTTGGGCCTTTCCTCTCAGGTTCTGCCCAGTCCTGGCCCACATCTGTGGGCGATCTCTGGCACTAGCCCCTCTTCTGCACCAGCCAGAGGTAGTCTAGAAACACTTGGTGCCAAGGAGGGACAAAGACCACCATCCACCTACCTCCAGGCTGCAGTGCTGGATGACGTTCCCTGGCCCCACAACCACAGCACCCTCCAACAGGCAGTTGGTGAGAGAGCAGCCTTCCTCCAGTAGACGCGGCTCCTGCATGGCACAGAAGGGGAAATGCCAGAAAATCTCTCCCACTCCCAGAGAGCTCTGGGGGGAACCGAGAACCAGCTATTCCCTCTGCCCTCCTCACAGGAGAGCATGAAGAGGGCAAGCTGCAAAGAGGGACTTGCCTCCTCAACAGGAATTGGGGTGCGAGGAGGATTATTTATCCTGATTGCTGATTGCATGCAATACCATCTGCCTTCCGACTCCTGCCACTCCCGTTTCCTAGCCAAGAGGCCACATCCACAAGGAAAAGGCTGGATGGGAACTTACATCCACAGTGGAATGGGCCACCTTGTAGAAATCCCTGCTGTGGGCATCACCCAGCTGAGAGGTGAGGTGGTAGATGTGCTCACTGGCGGATGAGGTCATGTAGTCATAGGTGCCATCAGGGAGGTAGGCTGGGAAGAGAAGGACTTCATGAACCTGCCAGCTGCTGTCACCGACTCAAGGCCCTCAGGGGCCTAGTTCTGCCTGCCAAACTAGGGAGACTTTGGCCCTCCCTGGGAGGCAAGCCTCTCACCCTTCCCATTCTCCCCGCCCCTCCCCCTCCCCCTCGGCTAGGGTTCCAGATCATCTCCTCTCCTCCTCAGCACCAGGCATGCGATGGGAGACTCACCCATTGTGAGTGGCAGCTTGCGGAGAGTCTTCCACAGCACAGTGCGGGCACTCCGAGCTGCCCCAGAGCTCTGGGCATCTCCTTCCCCCGTCCCTGTTCGGCGTCCAGCTACAAAGGCCTCCTCCGTCACTGCCTGGGCCATGCAGAGGAGCAGGTCAAAGAAGAGAGATAGCTGGGGAGAGAAGAGAGTCATCACCCGGAGAAAATCAGGTGCCAGGCTGCATGTCGGTCTGATTGGGGAAAGATGGCGCCCATCAGAGGCTGCCTCCTAGTCTGTAACTCCCCCTCCCTCCCCCCCCAGTTTGGGATCTTCCCCAGGGAGACCGAGTGGGAGTGGGAGGGTGCCCTTCCCTTGGCTGCCTTCCCACGCCTGCCCCCATAAGCACCCAAACCTAGGGGGGCTCCTTTTGGCCCACCCAGCCCAGGCAGGGCTTCCCCACCTGGAGGGCCGGGGCTCCCGAGTCCAGCCCCATGTAGGTGCAGGCGTTGAGTGGGGGGATGACATGGGTGGCCAGAAGCTGCTCTGCCGCTCTGGAGGAGAAGAAGACGACCCCGCACACCTGCCAGAGAGAATTGGGGGCAGCTCTGGCTTTGTGGGTCTGAGGCCGCCGCCCCTCCCCCCCCCCCCGTGCCAGTCCCCAGGGTGAACTCAGCCACATCCCTACACAAAATCCCAGCCCCACCAAGCTCCCACTCACCAGGGGGACTTTTCCATCTGGCCCCAGGCACCGCTGGATCTCCTCCTCTGAGCCCTGGTGGAGGATGTCTTGCACCACCGCCTGTGGATGCCCAAGGGCTGAATTAGACATGGCTGGTCCTCCTGCCGGACTGGGGGTGGGGGTGGGGGGCGAACTGCAGGTTGTGGTTCCTCTGACACTGCTGGCAGGGGAAGCACCCAGGCAGCCCCGGAGGGGGGCAAAGGGGCTGCGCCTCTCAGGCAATCCCTGTTGGGCCCATCCTTAGGCTGCATGCCCCACCCCAAAGGCAGGAAAGAGCTACCAGGAGGAAGGGTCAGTGCCGGGATAGGATCCCAGGAAGAAAGCAGGGGAGAGGGCACACACTCCCCTCCAGGACCCTCTGCCCTCCCCTCCTTGGGAAGGCCAGAAACAGCCCTGCCTCGCCCAGCCAGCAACATCTGGGCAGCCAAAGAAAAGAGTAGTTTCCTTTTCCAGGCAACCTGAGCAAGCGCCCCCCCCCCAGCTGCCCCCAGGTGCCCCATAGGAGCCTCTCGGACAGCCTGGACTCCAGACTGCTTGCCGGGAAGGCAGGAAGGCCAGAAGCACCCTGGGTCTCCCTATTGGGGCTGAGGGGCTTATCTTGAGACTGTGATCCCCTCGCATATTTCATGATAAAACTCAGCTCTTATTTAGACTCCAAGCCCTCTTTTTGTTACCTCTGAGTTGGCTGAATCCCTAGCAAATAACGGGGACTTTTTCTTACGGCCCAGACAGAGTCCGTCACTATTTTGATCTTACTTGACGTTATACTCTTGTTAGCCGCCTTTGGCCGGAGGTGGCACTTTAGAGGCAAACCTTTCTAATTGCACAGGGAAAGCCGGGAGAAGCCTCTGCGTTGAAGATTATGAGGAGCAGGAAGGAAGTGCCCCCCCCGCCTACATAAGCAACCTTCCTGGGGGGCACCTGAGAATCCACAGAGTAGATGCCATGGTGCCTGGCATAGGAGACGCTGGTGGGCACTGCAACCACTTTCACCCCCTGGAAGTTCCGCCAGTCAATTTCTGCAGGGTGAAATGGGCTTCCTCAACCATCCAGCCCCCCCCCCCCTCTGGGAGCCGTCAAGCCCCACAGATCTTCTCAGCGGGAAACAGGGCCCCCCAGCAGGTCCTTTGAGGCCAGGAGGCCCAGCACGGGGCCCTTCCCTCCTCCAGTGGCCCCTCCCACTCCTGCCTCTGGGATCAAGGCAGGGCTGAGGGCCCCTCTGCAGAAGAGGGCCACCCCCTGCCCTGCAGGCAGACTCACCCGCCGTGGCAGGGACCGTCAGAAACATATCTGTGCTGGAAACCCACACGCCTGGGGGAGAACCCTTGCAGACCTGCAAAAGAGTCAAGAAGGAAGGGAGCACCAGCAACTGGGCAGCTGCCCCGGCGGCCTTCAGAAGGGACAGACGAGTCCAGTTGACCCAAAACACACGGGATCCATTTGGGGCCTGGGATAGCCTGGTCCCAACATCCTACAGATCTCCCAACACGGCACACACCACACGGTGTTCTCATCACAACAAGGGACTGATGTTAATATTTCCCATCTCCAGAGCTCATCACTGCTGCCTCAAAATAAAAACAGATCTAGTGCATAACAATTACTGGGATCCCCAGATTACAAGTGCCAACTTGGCAACAGATTCACAGCTCTGGCATGGAAGCTGCGACCCACCCAGCCGAGCCCATTTCGCTAGCAGGCTCACACAACCAGTTCTCTGCAGAGCAAACAGCCCCCCTTGCCAGGTGGATGGTGCTCTACACTCTAAAGGGCAGAGCTCTGAGAGAGAAGGGCGCCCCAAGGTGCGGCTGGCCCCCCGCCTGCCACTTTTTCAAAGAATGTGGTTTTCTCAGCTGGCCTGGGGCCCAGAATGGAGCCAAGGGCTGATTGGACTGTGCTGTTGATTTATTCTTTATTGGGAAAAATACGTAATATTGCCAACTACATGCTCATGGCAACTCAAGATGGCTTATAGGAAATAAAAACACAAGATAAAAGAAAGAAAAAGTAAAAATAATAAAATAATAACCACCCCACCTCCGGTGACAACACACAGTCATGTCAGCCATTTAATGGCTGCTTCTGGGTCCCCCAGGCCCACTGACAGACTCACGTCTTCAGGGCATTCTGAAAGAGGGGGCACTGGTCTAACTCCCAGAGGGATGATGTGCCAGAGAGAGGGAGCCATCACGGAGAAGGCCCCCCTTCTGCATCCCACCAGATGTACCTCCTATGGGGACGGGACGCACAACATGCCCAGCCAGGTCACTTTATACAGGCCTGGTTGCCCGGTTGCTGCTTTCCGGCTCCAGGTATAAGCCTGCCAAAGGTAGGCCTCCTTTTAAAGTAGGCCAGGCCTGACTTGTGATGAGCGTCTCTAACTGCCAGCACAGACATCCGATCATGTCCCTGTTCTTGGCAGAAGTCAAACCGGGACCCTTCACAGCCCCCGTTGACATCAGGTCAGATGCACGGATGGTGGTCTTCAGCTTCCCCTCCTGGAGGGACCCCAGAAAGCTCTGGCCCCCTCTCAGCCCTTGCCAGCCCAAGGGGGGGTCTCTCTGCAACTGCAACCCCCACCCTCCTCCAGGCAGCTGCTCTGCCTGACCTTCTCTCCCCAGCAGCAGCACATCTCCCCCCACCACCACTCACCCGCTCAGTCAAGGTGGCCAGAAGCCGGTCCAAGTGGCAGGCAAGCGCCTCGGTGGGGGCCGCAGGGTCTTCAAGGGGGAGGCAGAGGAATGCGCGGCTGCAGTCATCAAAGAGAAAATCCCGACCCTGCGGGGAGGATAACACGTGTCCCCTGAGCTGGGAGGGAGCAAGCCTAGAAACCCACAGGCTGTCAGCCCCAAGCCCCACATCCCAACGTGTGTGTGTGCGTGTGTGTGTGTCCACTTGGCTATAGAAACAAAGTTGCCGTGATTTGCAGGTCAACCCAACAGCAGGGCAGCCCTTGAGTAGCAGCAGACAAAGAAGCTGGGCCAGGCAGGACCAACAACCTCTGTGTGTGTGTGTGTGTGGTGGGGAGTCCATGACACTCTTGGCCTTCAGGGCTACCACTCTGCTATGATCTCTAACTGAGCGTTTGCTCCTTTTCTGTTTCTGATACTCCCATACGTTTGGAACTGGAGTGGGGTGGGGGTCCTTCAGCCTGAGCAGAGGCCCAAGGCAGGACACCGGGAAGCAAGTGCATGCACCCCATTCTCTAGTGGGGGCCAGGAACCTGCTTCTTCCCAGACAGGCTAAGCGGAGGCCGCACAAGCACAAAATCCAGCAAAGCAGGGAGAGATTCTCTGCACTCACCATGTGCAAGACGAGAATCCTGGCCTCTTGCAAGACGTCAGCAGTGACCACCTGGAGCAGCAGAGAGGAGAGCCAGATGAACTTGGGCCAGAGGCACCCCAAACTGAGGTCCAGAGTGGGGGGGTCTCACAAATGGACTCCAAGCCCACCGTAGGAGGAGTGCAGTCAGGAGGCAGGTTTTGCTGACTTGCTGGGGGTCTCCAACAGGAGCAGGAGCTAAGAGGGCGGGTGAACTGGGGGTAAAGATGTTGGGGTGCTTACCGTATAACCTGCCCGAGCACTCAGGTGTTCTGCCGCCACCAAGAGAGCATTGAGTGTAGCCCCTCCACTGCCCACCTGGGCTTTGGGGTCTTCCACAGTGAGCAGGATGGTCCCTTGGCCCAGGGAGCCTCTGTCTCTGCGGATCTCCAGCTCTGGAAGGCAAACAAAGGATCAGCCAGTTTGTGCGGCGTTTGGGCACAACCAGCCCCACAAGGAGGCTACTGATTGCCCAGGAAGCTCCAGGTGAGATGCCACAAGGGCACCCCACCCCCAAGGGCAGGAACAGTAAAAAGGCTTCCTGGACATCAAGGTGAGCTCCCAGCCTCACTGGAGCCCTTTCACCCTCCTGTCCATCTGGCCTGGGTCATCAAAGATCGTCCTTGCAACCTGGCAGGGTAGAACTGATGGGTCAAAACTGTTTTATCCCCCTTTAAGCAAGAAAGAAGTTGAGGAAAGGAGCAGGTGACTGCGTGGCAGAGACGGCCTGCTTTTCATGGGGAAAGGAGGGGCCCCGAGGGGGGAGAGCAGAAGTGGGCAGCCGCCCTGGGAGGAAGAAGAAGAAGCCGCTTGGGCCTTGGGGAAGACACAGGACAGCCAGGCAGGATCCGACCAAGCAGCGTCTTCCTCACGAACATTCCCTTTTTTCTTTTTAATTTTTTTTTATTTACAAACATGTAAAATACACATACACAAAATTTAGATGTACACCACATTTACACAATACAATACGAACAGGAACTTCCTGTTCTTTTTTTTTGAATTTTTTTATTGTTTTAAATAAACTGAAATTATTTAAACGTGCTTTTATCTGATATCATTTGCATTCAAAAACACAACCACCTACTGGCATTCATAAGTCATAATCATTGTTTCATTCCCTTGGGCAGGGAGCAGCCAGAGCCCCGGGCCTAACAGCAAGTAGGAGACGGAGACCCCTGATGGCTGCCCCCCACCTCCAATCTGGGCTCCCCCCAGGGCTCCTCTCCCCCTTTAAAACCAGGAGCCACCAGGTAGTTTTCTCTGGCCTTTTGGGGGTCTCCTTCAGCTGCCATGGAGCCCGGAGAGGGGCGGCTTCTCCTGCAGCGGCGGCGTCCTTGCGCCTTCCCTGCCCGCACACTGCCCCTTCCTCAGCCCAAACGGTCTTCGTGCCCAGAGGGGCTGCAGCCGCGGGCGAGGCTCCCCCACCCCGCTCTCTTCAGCTGGCCTGCGCTGAGCAGCTGGGAGCTCCTGAAGGAGAAGCGGCTCGGCTCCCCACGGCCGCTCGGCCTTTCGACCATCCGAAAGGGATCATCGGCGCCGCCTCCGCCGTGGCCGGCCCTACTTGCCCCAGGCCAGATTCGGGGCAGCCGGGAACCCAGCTGCCCGCCCGCCCTGAGCAGCCCCTCCAGAAGCCGCGGGGCTCTGTCGGGCGGGGGCGTCGTCTTCTCCCCAAAGGCGCCCGGCGCCCCTTCGCTTCCTTTCGTCGGGGGCGACTGCCTCTCACCTCTCTGGAAGGCGAAGGCGCTGTCCTTGTGCTGGCAGGTCAGGACCACCACCGTCCAGTCTGCGGCCATCCCGCCCGCCAGGGCCGCCCCGCGGGGAGCGGCGTTCAGGGGCGCTTCGGAAGCGGCGCTCGGCGAAGTGCAGCGGCCTCGCGCTGGCCCTTTACAGCGCTGGGCAGGCCGGGAAATGCAGTCCGCCGCCCCGAGGCGGAGCCGCTTTAAGGGGCGGGCGGGAGTGTGCGATCTCCCCCCGCCGCCCCTCCGGTCCGTCCCCCAAGATTCCCGGCGCCCCGCCCACCGCCCCCCCCCCCGGCTCCGGCCAAGGCGGCCCTGGAGAGGGGCGAGGAGGAACTTGGAAGACTTGGCCACATTCCGTCCCCGGCTCGCTCCGAAGGTTAACGCGCAGAGTCGGATGGAGAGGTGGAAAAACGTCCGCCCGACGCTTCGTGCCTTGTTCCCCCGACGCCCGCGGCCACAACGAGAGGCGGGAGGCCAGGCGAGGCAGGACAAGCCGCTGCTTCCCCAGCCTGGCCCGGCTGCATCGGGCGGCTAGGCTTCCCTGCGGGGGAACGGCCGATGAGTCCCATAGCGCCCCCCCCCCGCCCGGTACAGCCCAGGGTCACTCCGCCCAGCCTGCCCGACAGGGAGGCGCGCCGGGCCGGAACGCTGGCCAGTCATGCACAGCGGTTGGGGGCTCAGCCCGGCCCGAGTGTGAGAGCCGAGCGAAGCCTCCCGTGCTTTAAGGGACCTGGTGGTTTGCCTGCAAGGTGTGAACTGGGCTTCTCCCAGGGAGGGGCGGAAGGAGGCGCCGGGGGAGCCCCACAGCCAAACCCGGCCTGGCCGCCTCCAGCGGAGTCTCCCTCGGGGAACAGCCGCGTGATTGAACCCCCCCGGCCGCCTCGCCGCCCTTCCGCGGCTTCCCCAGTGCAGACGGCCGCCTGTCCGGCTCCCCGCCCCGCGCCTCCAGCCACGGGAGAGGGAGGTGCCCCAGCAGAAAGGCCGACCGAGGAGGGGGCTTCCCCAGCCAGGATCACCCGCCACCTTATCTGCCGTCTTGGCCACGCCGGCAGCTACCTTGCCAGGGCGGCGTCTGGGGGAGCCGCACTCTCGGGACTCGGAGCCCATCGGGCCGCGCGCCAAACCCTCCCGGCTGACGGGCGGGGCTCCAGACGGCGAGCGCCCGCCGCGGGGTCGCGCTTCCCTTGCTGCGCAGCTTGGACGGGAGGGCCGGACGGCGCCGGGCTGGCTGGGACCCGCGGGGCGGGCAGAGCGGAGCCGGGCGGCGGGGCGCTGCTTCCCTCGGCCGGCATCGGCTCCGGAGGCCGGCGGAGGCAGAGCAGCCCGGCCCCCGCCCGCTGACCCCCGATGCAGGAAGCGGAAGACCCCCGCCCGGCGCCCTCTCCTCCATCCGGGCTCGCGCCGCGCCCTTCCCCGGCGGACGCCAGCTCCTCGCTCTCGGCTGGCTGCGCGGCGGCGGCTCTCCGGTAAGCGGGGCGAGGGGTGGGGTGGACCGCGTGCCGCCTTCGCGGGAGAGATGCCGGGGAGACGGAGCGCGCCGCCTGCCTCCTCCGCTGCCCGGCGAGCGCCCGTATGGCTCGCGCGCCGCAGCTGCAACTGCAGCCGGCGCAGGAGGCCCGGGGAGGCTTGGCGGGCGCCGCTGCGGCTCGAGCTGCGGGAAGGGCGCCGCCGCCTCTCGTGGCTTTGGCCGCTGAGGCTGGCCGGCGGGAGGCGAGGTCCGCGGCGGATCACGAAGGCCTGGCGGGGCTGAGCGCGGGGGGGTCGCGGCCGGGCGCCCAGGCTGAGTTGCTCCGCCGGCCTCCCTGAGCGGCGGTGTCCTGCCGGCTGGGGGGTCGGCGCTTGCAAGGGATGCCCCCGCAGGGACCCGAGCGGACGGAGCCTCCTTCCCGCAGCCCGCGCGCGCCTGGCTCGGCCTCGGAAGCCCCCGGCCGCTTCCCCCATCGGCCCCGCGGAAGGGTCGTCCGGCTGGGTCGGCGCCGGCTCCTGAACTGACGGCTTCTCGTGGCTGCGCTTCCCTTTTGTGTCGGGGCTGAAAGGACTAAAGAAGGATCGGGGAGGCTGCCCGGCAGATGATGGGCGAAAGGCTGGGCACAGACTTCCAAGATGGGAGGGGCATAATGGTGATGTGCCCCAGAATAGGATGGAAAGCAATGCTCGCCCCCAGGGGAGAAAAGGGGAGAAAAGGCTGCTGTGAGGGACAGACGACCTGGAAGATTATGGAGCTGAAGGTGTTGTAGAGGGGGCACCTGCAGAAAAGGGTGTGTGTTTGTGTGTGTGGCGTTTGTCGAACTGGGGGAGGAGCAGTGTGCCTTGGCTGTATCTGTGTCATTGGGAGAATGCTGTGATTGTGACATTGCACAAATAGAAAGTTATCATGCGTTAAAGGTTGATGGAAAAGTATTAGGCAGGATTCTGATTCAAAGGTTCGAAGAGGCAAAGTGAACACTTCAGCAGGGCAGACCAGATTGATGCCTGGCAGGGGTTGTGAAACACATAATTGTGACTTGGATGCTTGTGAAATATATTAAGCAGAATGAAGATCTGAAAATTAATGTATCTAAGACTACAGAATTTGTGCTTGATGGGAAAAATATAACAACAGATTGGCCATAAATATGGACAAACTAAGAATTGGATTTGTATCCCTTGGTGAAGATGGGAAAAGGGACACATACATTTTTAAATGGGCAAATACTTAGTAGGATAGTTTGTGGTCTCTGGCAGGGAATGGTTATTATTGATTAATCAAATTGGTACAACCATCCGTGTTTTATTGTCTGCTTGGGAACATTTTCAGGAAACATAAATGCTGTGGGGAAGGGGCAAGCAGATGGGATGTGGTTTAAGGAAGGACCCCTTGCAGTGCAAGAGGTGAATGTTGGTTAGTCTTAGGTGAATTTCCTTTTCTTTTGAACCTTTAGACTTTAACAGCTTTGGCTTTTTCTTCCTTGTTCTCATATAAAGTTTCTTTCCCTGAAACAATGGAACAGCACGAGGTAGATGGTTGCAGGCTGCCTAACATCCCTTGGCTAACATCCCTTGGTCACCGGCAACTGTTTTCAAGCCCAGCTTAGTAGAGTGTGTGAATCCAGCTATTGGTGCTGCATGTCCTTGATATCCTGAGTAGAAGGTTTGTTGGGAAAAGCCCCCCCCCCCAAGACTGACATCTCAGGAGAACAACCGAGAGGCCCACCCACCCTTCATTCGGGGGAGGGGGGTCTCTGCCCAGAAGAATGTTTGGGATTAATAGGAAACATTTTCATGAATCCCAGGGTTCAGATCTCTCTGATCATAGCTGGGCCAGCACTAAGGGAACTCATGGTCCTATGGAGCAGTGCCAACCCTTCCCCTCCCAGCTGAAGAACATGGAGCTTGAACAAGGGGGAACTTCCCCTTCCCCGAAAGAGCTGCATTCACACATTACACTAAGCCATGGGTTTGGTGATTTGAATAAGCCACAATAGCTTTTTCATACAACACACTAAACCATAAGGTGTGGTTTGCACATCCCATTGGCTAACCCAAAACCAAACAGACTGCATTAAATCTTATTAACCAGTTTACAGAACAAAGCTATGAGGTGGTTTTTGGTTTTACCTTTGCAATTAGCCCTGGTTCACAGCATGGGTGTCTGTGGCAGGGAGAGCTGACCAGATGTGCCCCCTGCCTCACAGACTTGTGCCCAACCTTGTTGGTATCCATCTGGGGGTGTGCGTGTGCAGGGTGGATTTTGCCTGCCTGAAACACACACACACACAGGGATGGAGAGACATCGTACCAGGAACATCTTTCCGGCCTAACGGCCAGGACTCACTATGCAGCCTCATGAACTATGTGAGCCAGTTACTCCCACACCTGCCCCTTCTCTCCCCTATGCCATGCAGCTTGTAACTTTCAATTCCCCATCTTCCCTCCCTCTGCTGTTGTAACTTTCTATTCCCCCTT